AACTGTACTTGTATATTAGGACAGCTTACCGGTGTGCGTTCCTGATTTATATTTCTGCCAATAGTTGCTTATATTTCACCCAAACTTCCTCCTCCCTTAGTTTATACACTTTCACCTCCCTCTTACTTGTTGTCATTTTCCTCTTGTCCCATCTACCTCTTACTCTAACTGTAGCTATAACTAAATATTGATCCAATATATCAGTTGCCCCTCTATAAACGTGTACATCCTGGAGCCAGCCCATCAACCTTTTATCCACCAATACGTAATCTAACAAACTACTTTCATTACGTACTAAATCATACCTTGTATATTTATTTATCCTCTTTTTCATAAAATATGTATTACTGTACTTATTACCAAACCTCTTTCTACACATAATTTTTTTAACACACCAGCCATCTACCGAGGTAGGGTGACCTGAAAAAGAAAAAACACTTTCACCATCACTCACTCCATGACTGTCTGTCTTGCCAGAGGTACGCTGATACAGTTCAGATGCCCCTCCAAACAGGAAATATCCCCACCCCACTGGTTTCCCTGAATCTCTTCATAAATGTTTCCTTGTTCACAACCCAACAGCACATCAAGTCATAAAAACCACTTGCCTCCACTCACTCCTATCTAAAATGAGAACACATGCCTGCTAGATGTCCAATACAAAACCTCCTTTATACCCTCCCTCCATCCATTCCTAGGGTAACCTGTACCCCACCTTCCTTCCACTACAAATTTATACACAGGCACATAGTATCTTAATATCAGGGGTACATCTACTTTGAAACTAATGTAGCTTAAGCTTCAGGGCCCCGAATCCCAGAGGGGTCCCAGAAGTGACTTTAGTCCACACTGCTTCAAAATTTTGAGTCTACTGTATAATAAGAGGATACAAAGGGACCCCCATAACAGTCAACATATACAGCCTCTCCTCACTTAGCGACCTACTCGTTTACTGACAAATCAGACTTACGACGGGCTGTGGCCAGTATGCATACCTAAATAATGTATATTAGAGCTGATTTTCTCTATTCTGTTTATTACAATATACAGTACACTACTGTGTAAACATTTAAAAATATGCTAAAAATGTTATAAATGGTACAAAGATGACATTAAAACAATATCAAAGATGGTTGACACAAACCCACTACCATTATAATATGTTCCTTGTTTAGCAAGGAATTTGTTTACTGACGTGGCCTTAGGAATGGAACTCCGTCGTTAAGTGAGGAGAGGCTGTACTGTATTTTTTTTTTTTTAACAAGTCGGTCGTCTCCCACTGAGGCAGGGTGACCCAAAAAAAGAAAGAAAATCCCCAAAAAGAAAATACCTTCATCATCATTCAACACTTTCACCTCACTCACACATAACACTGTTTTTGCAGAGGTGCTCAGAATACAACAGTCTAGAAGCATATACGTATAAAGATACACAATATATTCAATTCAAATTCAAATTCAAATTCAAAGTTTATTCTCTATAAAGATTACAATGTTGAATTTACAGAATTTGGTTGTTGTGTGGTTTACATGTAGTTAAATAATGATTACAGAGTGTACCACTAGAACGCCTAGCATGGCTAGGCATTTCGGGCAGACTTAGTTTAATTCTTTATTTTAAAATATTACAAATTATGAGGTAAGTTGGTATTATGGCTAAGTGACTAAATACTAGTTTGTGAGTTTAGCAATGTGAATGCTTTTGTTTTGGCACAGTACATAGTTTCAGTATTGGAGTATCATAGGATTCATTATTTTAAGATTGAGATTAATATTTCTGTTTATGGTCAAATGGGCGAGTGTAAGTGTGAACCACCAGGTGGTATTCGTGTAGTTAGTTAATGGGGTTTATCAGGGAGATAAGATGTTTTCTAATGGTAGTTTTGAAGGTGATGAATGTGTCTGCATTTCTAGAGTTCTCAGGTAGGGTGTTCCAGATTTTAGGGCCTTTGATATACATTGAATTTTTGTAAAGGTTTAGTCAGACATGGGGAATGTCGTAGAGATGTTTGTGTCTGGTGTTATGCCTGTGGGTTCTGTCACAACTATCAAGAAAGCATTTTAGGTCAAGGTTGATATTGGAGTTAAAGGTCCTGTAGATGTAGATTGCACAGTAGTAAGTGTGGATGTACTGAACAGGGAGTAAGTTTAGATCTATGAAGAGTGGGGGGGGGGTGTTGCCAGGGATGGGATTTAGTGATTATTCTTACTGCAGCTTTTTGTTGGGTTATTATTGGCTTTAGGTGTGTTGCTGCAGTTGATCCCCAAGCACAAATAGCATAGGTGAGGTATGGATAAACAAGTGAGTGGTATAGTGTGAGAAGGGCATTTTGCGGCACGTAGTATCGTATCTTGGAGAGGATCCCAACTGTTTTGGATACTTTTTTGGTTATGTGTTGGATATGGGTGCTGAAATTCAGGTTGTTGTCAAGGTATAGGCCTAGGAATTTGCCCTCATTATGTCTGGTAATTAGAGTGTTGTCGATCTTAATGTTAATTTGTGCATCTCCTGCTCTGCTACCAAACATAATATAGTAGGTTTTGTCATTGTTAAGGTAAGTTTATTGGCTGTCATCCAAGTCGATATTTTGATCAGCTCCTCGTTAACAATGGTGTTGAGGGTGGCAAAATTAGGGTGACAGATGACATAAGTCGTGTCGTCAGCAAAGAGAATGGGTTTCAGGTGTTGGGATACGTTTGGAAGATCATTGATGTATATGAGGAAGAGCAGGGGGACCAAGGACACTTCCCTGCGGAACTCCAGTATCAAGTGGCCGTGTTGTTGATGCTGTGTCTTTAATGGTAATATACTGATACCTATTAGTAAGGTAAGATTTGAAATAAGCAAGCGCATGGCCTCTTATACCGTAATGGTCAAGTTTGTGGAGTAGGATGTCGTGGTCTACTGTGTCAAAAGCTTTTCTTAGGTCAATAAAAATTCCTAGTGGATATTCCTTATTTTCCAATGCTGTGTAAAGCAGATCTAGCATTTTTATGATTGCATCATTAGTGCTTTTATTTTTCCTAAATCCAAATTGGCAGGGGTTGAGTATGTTTTGTGCTGTTATAAATGAATATAGTCTCCTGTGCACTAGTTTCTCAAAGATTTGGGATAGCAATGGTAAGTTTGATATTGGCCTATAGTTGTTTAAGTCTGTAGGGTCACCACCTTTATGTATTGGTGTAACCCTTGCCATCTTGAGTAGTTTCGGGAAGGTGCTAGTTTCTAGGGACTTGCTAAAAAGTAATGAAATAGCATGCGAAAGGATATGGGCCGCTCGCTTGTACAGTAATGGTGGGACATTAGACAGATTCCCTGAGTTGTTTTTAAGTGACTTTATAATCTCGGTGACTTCCGAGGGCTCAGTTGGTGCAAGATAGAAGGAATTTGGGAAATTCCCATCTAGGTAGTCCCCGGCATGGGCATTAGTATGTGGGATTTTATTGGCGAGATTAGATCCTATGGTTGAGAAGAAGTCGTTTATCTTGTTAGCTGTGTCAGTGGGATGTAGTGGTGTTTCATTAGGTTTAGTTAGGACAATATTCTTGTTTTTTTTCAGTTTGTGGGTCCCTAGAATCTGAGAGAGTGTTTTCCAGGTCTTTTTTATATCTCCTCTAGTGTCTGTGAATCTACTGGAGTAGTATAGTTGTTTGGCTTTCTTTATTACTTTGGTGAGAACTGATGAATAGTGTTTAAGAATATCTTTGTGTATTAAGCCCTGTCTATATTGCTTTTCATATTGGTGTTTCTTGTCAATGGATTTCAGAATGGGGCTGGTTAGCCATGGGCAACCAAGCCGTTTGTTTGTGATCTGTTTCGTTTTTATAGGACAATGTTTGTTGTATAGTCTAAGTAATTTGTTAAGAAAAATGTCTGTCCAGTCATCAATACCATTGGCCTTGGAGAATTCTGTAGGCCAGTCAACAATCTCTAGGTCAGTTGTGAACTTCCTTATTGAGGCCTCGTCATGGAGTCTAAATGAGACTTTGTTGTATTCAAGTGGTGGTTTATTAATTTTTGTCAGGAGGAAGGTAGGGTAGTGGTCTGTAGTGCTATCTGTGATTAACCCTGATTTAAGGGGGGCTAGTATATTGGTCCATATGTAGTCTATTATGGTTGCACTTGTCTCAGTGAGCCTGGTTGGTTTAGTTATTGTTGGTATGAGAAGTGTGTTGTTCATATTGTTGATGAAATCAGTTACAGGCTGATCATCTAGTAAGCCAAGGTTGATGTTGAAGTCTCCAGCTAAGAGAAGGTGGTGCTTATTCATTTGTCCAAACTGCCAATATCCCAAACCCCTGTATATCTTACTAAATAGTTCTCATCAATCGTGTTTTTTTATACATTGGTCAGGAAATAAAAAAATTCATCAATGCTCACTCCTGAGCAGTCTTGACAGAAGGATGCAAACTTTATTATCAAATGATAATCCACCTAACTGTCACATTACCACACTACATCTGAAATGCAAGAACTGATCTCTACTTCCCCTCTCCTGAACTCTAATAAAGCTAACTGGTGTATGATGAGGGGTCATTTATTATGTTGTTAAGAGACAAAGGAAGGCGGGGTAGGGGTCATCCCCGAAAAGGTTGGAGGGTTGGAGGGAGGGGGTAAAGGTTTCGTGGGCAAGGGGCTTGAACTTTCAGCGAGCGTGCATGAGCATGTTTGATACGAGTGAATGGAGATGAATGGTTTCTGGGACCTGACGGAGTTTTGGAGTGTGAGCAGGGTAATATTTTGTGAAGAGATTCAGAGAAACCAGGTAGCCAGACTTGAGTCCTGGAAATGGGAAGTACAATGCCTGCACTTTAAAGGAGGGGTTTTGGATACTGGGGAGTTTGGAGGGATGTCTAAGCTGTTGTATCTGAGGGTTTCTGCAAAGAGTGATTATGTATGAGTGATGGTGAAAATGTTAAATGATGATGAAAATTTTTTTTCTTTCTTTCTGGGTCACCCTTCCTAGGTGGAAAATGGCCGACATGTTAAAAAAAAATTACCTGCTTTTGTTGATCTTGTCTGTGGTAACGCCTCAAAATTTGTGATGTAATCGTTGATACTGCATTACCAATAAGGTATTGAAGAATGCCATGTGCTACTGTTGGAACTATTAGCAACCAAACTGGAAGCATACGTCCTGGGAAAAATTGAAAAAGATTAGATTTTAAGGATATTTGCCAAAAAGCACATTGGGCAGAGTCACTCACTCGTCTAATGAGTAATTTCATGTTATGGTTTCTGAAGTGAGATGTTTCATATGTTTTATATCTATAATAAAATTTATGGCTAATGAAGTGCAAAAATGCATTCTAATTAAGTATATTAAATAAGAAGTAGACCAGCTGGCTTCAATTACCAATGGAGTACTTTGTGAGGAGGTAAAGAAGGATATCCCTTCTCATACTGGCAGCTGTTGTGTTTGGCCACATCCATACTGCAGTGCACAACTACCTGTCTTTAATATTTAATGTTTTTTTTTCTGCTTTTTTATTTGTATGTGTTTTTCAAGGCAGTCTCATTACTTTTAGCATATTTTATGTCTTAATTGAAACAAGTAGCAGCTAACTAGTCAACAATGTTTCTCATCACTATTAAAAAGTCTATGTTATACTAATTAAAAGCATTTGAAATGTCTGGCAATGATTTACATGTTGCCATAGGCTCAAAACTAGGGAGCCACAGAAGAAATAAGACATCAAAGATGTGGGCAGATACACAGATAAAAAAAACAATAAAAATTTCATGAACTTTATGTACATTAAATAATAAGACAAAATGAAATAGTCAATTAAAATAGATGCATATGAGTGTGTGTGCAAGGGTTATTGTGAAGGGTGAAAACAGGAGCTTAACTGTAATATCCAGGAATAGACCACTGGGGTGTACCATTGATTTTTTTTTTTTCAACAAACTGGCTGTATCCCACCAAGGCAGGGTGGCCCAAAAAGAAAAATGAAAGTTTCTCTTTTTAAATTAGTAATTTATACAGGAGAAGGGGTTACTAGGCCCTTGCTCCCGGCATTTAAGTTGCCTCTTACAACACGCATGGCTTACGGAGGAAGAATTCTGTTCCACTTCCCCATAGAGATAAGAAGAAATAAACAAGAACAAGAACTAGAAGGAAATTAGAAGAAAACCCAGAGGGGTGTGTATATATATATGCTTGTAAATGTATGCGTAGTGTGACCTAAGTGTAAGCAGTAGTAGCAAGACGTACCTGAAATCTTGCATGTTTATGAAACAGACAAAAGACACTAGCAATCCTACCATCATGTAAAACAATTACAGGCTTTCGTTTTACACTCACTTGGCAGGACAGTAGTACCTCCCTGGGCAGTTGCTGTCTACCAGCCTATTACCTACAACCAATGAAATCATAGTACAGTGGACCCCCGCTTTACGATCAGCTCCCAATGCGACCAATTATGTAAGTGTATTTATGTAAGTGCGTTTGTACGTGTATGTTTGGGGGTCTGAAATGGAACTAATCTAATTCACAATATTCCTTATGGGAACAAATTCGTTCAGTACTGGCACCTGAACATACTTCTGGAATGAAATAATATCGTAAACCGGGGGTCCACTGTATTATTATTATTACAATCAAAATTAAGTGCTAAACCCACAACAGTCAAACAGCAATGAAATCATAAAGTACGAAGCATTCAAGAACTGTTCAAGTTTTATTAACCTGTCATATAATATGAGCTGAGAATGAATGAGATTATGTTCTCTTGTATATCTTGGTGCACATTCCTGTATTATTCTTTTTCCTTTACCACACCAGCTGTCTCCCACAGAGTAAGGTGATTAGAGGAAAAAAAAGGAAACATTCACTATCATTCATTCAACAGCTGTCTTGACAGAACTGTGAAGATATCATAATTCAAATGACCTCTGAAGTGAAATTCAAATGACCCTCACAACTACACCATCTCATCCTTCTGTCAGCGGTGGCATCATACTTCCCAGTCAGGGATCAAGTCTAGCTAAACTGTTTTTTTAATTAATTAACCTTGCTCACACTCCATGAGCACATCAAACTCTTAAAACCACTTAATCTGGTTTATCATGCTCACATACACATGCTGGATACTCAAGCCCCTAACACTTACAGCTTTCACACCCTCCCTCCACCCCCACCTAGGATGACCCCTACTGTTCTTCCTTCCACTTTCAATTTTTACACCCTCTTGGCATTTTGTTCTTCTCCATCCTCTATAAATGACCAAACCACCTGTTCTGCCCTCTAATACATATTCTACTTTATTAAAGTGATATTCAGTTGTTGATACAGAGAAGATTTTGCACCTCAACAGAGCTCCTGCAATATTCTGCAGAGTCAGCTTAATAAAGAGTATCAGCCTCACGAGAATGCTAAGGAAGAACTGCAGCTAGCATCTTAAGTGGATGTTGTAGTTTGAAAGGTCCTCTGAACTATGATGTTGGCACTCTTCTGGCAAGACAGCCATTGAATGAATGACAGTGAAAATGTTTTCTTCTTTGTTGGGTCACCCTACCTCAGTCAAAGACAGTTGGAGTGTAAAAAAAAGAACTCATTGCAGTTTACTTGCAAACTCTTACTTTTTTTTTCAACAAATTAGCCGTATCCCACTAAGGCAAGGTCACCCTCAAAGAAAAATGAAAGTTTTTCTTCTTAAATTTTAATTTATACAGGAGAAGGGGTTACTAGCCCCCTTGCTACCTTCATTTTAGTCACCTGTAATGACACGCATGGATTACGAAATAAGAATTCTGTTCCACTTACCCCATGGAGACGAGAGGAAACAAAAAAGAACTAGAACTATTAAGATATGGAAGAAAACCCAGATGGGTTATATATATTATATAAAATATTTTTTTTTTTTTTTCAACAAGTTGGTCGTCTCCCACCGAGGCAGGGTGACCCAAAAAAGAAAGAAAATCCCCAAAAAGAAAATACTTTCATCATCATTCAACACTTTCACCACACTCACACATTATCACTGCTTTTGCAGAGGTTCAGAATACAACAGCTTAGAAGCATATACGTATAAAGATACACAACATATCCCCCCAAACTGCCCAAAATCCCAAACCCCTCCTTTAAAGTGCAGGCATTGTACTTCCCATTTCCAGGACTTTAAGTCCGACTATAAGAAAATAAACCGGTTTCCCTGAATCCCATTTACTAAATATTACCCTGCTCACACCCAACAGTTCGTCAGGTCCCAAGTATCATTCGTTCCATTCACTCCCATCTAACACGCTCATGCAGCTTGCTGGAAGTCCAAGCCCCTCGCCCACAAAACCTCCCTTTTCCCCCTCTTTCCAAACCCCTTTTGAGGACGACCCCTACCCTCTTTCCTTCCCCCATAGATTTATATGCTTTCCATGTCATTCTACTTTTATCCATTTCTTCTAAATGACCCAAACCACTCAAAAACCCTCTTCTGCCCCCTTTTACTAATGCTTTTATTAACTCCACACTTCTCCTAATTTCCACACTCCAAAATTTTTTGCATAATATTTACACCACACATTGCCCTTTTGACAGGACATTCCACTGCCTCCAAAACCATCTCCTCGCTGCTGCCCTTTACCACCCAAGCTTCACATCCATATAAGAGTGTTGGTACTACTATACTTTCATACATTCCCTTCTTTGCCTCCATAGATAAAGTTTTTTGACTCCACATATACCTCAGCACCACTCACCTTTTTCCCTCATCAATTCTTGATTAACCCATCCTTCATAAATCCATCCGCCGACACTCAACTCCCAAGTATCTGAAAACATTCACTTCTTCCATACTCCTCCTCCCCAATTTGATATCCCAATTTTTCTTTATCTAAATCATTTTATACCTCATCACCTTACTCTTTTATTTCACTTTCAACTTTCTACCTTTACACACATTCTCAAACTCATCCACTAACCTTTGCAATTTTTCTTTAGAATCTCCCATAAGCACAGTATCATCAGCAAAAAGTAACTGTGTCAATTCCCATTTTGAATTTGATTCCCCATAATTTAATCCCACCCCTCTCCCGAACACCCTAGTATTAACTTCTTTTACAACCCCATCTATAAATATATTAAACAACCATGGTGACATTACACATCCCTGTCTAAGACCTACTTTTACCGGGAAGTATTCTCCCTCTCTTCTACATACCCTAACCTGAGCCTCACTATCCTCATAAAAGCTCTTTACAGCATTTAGTAACTTACCACCTATTCCATATACAGTGGACCCCCGCATACCGTTGGCATCACATAACGTTAAATCCGCTACATTTTATCGCCAAGATTTTGCCTCGCATACCGCTAAAAAACCCGCTCAACGCTGTTCGTCTGAGACGCGTCTAATGTGCGCCCTTAGCCAGCCTCACATGTTCCGCCGGTGGCATTGTTTACCAGCCAGCCTCTGCGGTAACATCCAAGCATACAATCGGAACATTTTGTATTATTACAGTGTTTCTGGTGATTTTATCTGCAAAATAAGTGACCATGGGCCCCAAGAAAGCTTCTAGTGCCAACCCTACAGCAATAAGGTGAGAATTACTATAGAGATAAGAAAGAGATCATTGATAAGTAGGAAGTGGAGTGCGTGTCTCCGAGCTGGCCAGGTTGTATAGTAAACCCCAATCAACCATCGCTACTATTGTGGGCAACAAAAGGCAATCAAGGAAGCTGTTCTTGCCAAAGGTTTAACTGTGTTTTCGAAACAGAGATTGCAAGTGATGGAAGTGTTGAGAGACTCTTATTGGTGTGGATAAATGAGAAACAGATAGCAGGAGATAGCATCTCTCAAGTGATCATAAGTGAAAAGGCTAGAAGTTGCATCAGATTTAATTAAAAAAGCCTGCAACTAGTGATGATGTGAGTGAATTTAAGGCCAGCAAAGTTTGGTTTGAACATAAAAATGGTATAAATACCGACAGTTGTTAGGTAAGACACATATGCAACAGTTAGGATCTTTATTTCGAAACGTTTCGCCTACACAGTAGGCTTTTCAGTCGAGTACAGAAAAGTTGATAGAAGCAGAAGATACTTGAAGACGATGTAATCAGTCATCACCCTTAAAGTTTGAGGTGTCAGTCCCCTCAGTCTGGAGAGAGCATTGTTCCATGGTATGAAACAATATGGTTTCA